TGTATGGGTGTCATCATTGTTTTAGTGGGAGTTGTTGTAGCACTGCTCATTTTGGGGAGGAAGGATGTTTTGTTTGTTTTTTACTGAAGTGAAAAAGAAATAAAAAATTAATTAGTAAAAATAATAATTGTGCATTCTGTAAATGTTTATTTACGTTATTGCCTATTTGAGTTGTAAAGCTGAATATTTTTAGGTTTCTTAAAAATGCTGCCATTATGCATTATGCTTATTAGGTGTCTTTTGTTATTAACTACTAATGAATCATGGATATCTTTTTATATAAAGTAATTGTTAAGATTTATATGAAATATTATTTAAAATTCATGATGAACAGCATTAGGGTTTTTTGTTATTGTTATTTTCTTTTTCATAATTGATGAAAATTTATTAATATTCTTCTAAGAAAATTTATTCTAGATACTTGTATGATGAAAATTGAAGAGTATTTTTTTAATTTATTACTAGACTTTTATTAAAATGTTTTGCTGATTAAATATAACATAGTGTTAAGAACACAACACAATAAACTTTTCAGGCCCTTAATCTATAATCTACAAAATGGTTCTGAGATTTTATCTTCAGCCCTTTGCTGTACTCAAACATCCTACTAAAGTCTGGAACTGTATTGTGCCTTTTTGTGACAATGTTTAGATCGATAGATAGATAGATAGATAGATAGATAGATAGATAGATAGATAGATAGATAGATAGATAGATAGATAGATGGATAGATAGATAGATATATAGATAGATAGATAGATAGATAGATAGATAGATAGATAGATAGATAGATAGATAGATAGATAGATAGATAGATAGATAGATAGATAGATAGATAGATAGATAGATAGATAGATAGATAGATAGATAGATAGATAGATTGATAGATAGATAGATAGATAGATAGATAGATAGATAGATAGATAGATAGATAGATAGATAGATAGATAGATAGATAGATAGATAGATAGATAGATAGATAGATAGATAGATAGATAGATAGATAGATAGATAGATAGATAGATAGATAGATAGATAGATAGATAGATAGATAGATAGATAGATAGATAGATAGATAGATATAGATAGATAGATAGATAGATAGATAGATAGATATATAGATAGATTGATAGATAAATCGATAGATTATATATTCTAAAAGTAACACTTTCACATATTAATTTAACTTAAAAACCCTTTGAAATACAGTCCCCTAACAATAGAATATCCTAATTAAAAATCTATTACTCAAACTAGTAGTAAAAGCAATTTTCAAAAATGAGGGCAAAAAAAAAAAAAAACGCCAGAGCAGAAAACAACATTAGATAAGAAAATTAAATGTTTCACCCACTATATATTTAGTTTATCATGATGACGAATAAATACAACTATATTTAACAATTTATTCATACAAGTGTAATATTAAAACGTTTTATGCGAAAAACTTTTATAGATTCTAAAAAAACAAAACATTTGCAAAAAGTCAATACAATAGTCTGGTAGATATTGATTTTTTGTTTTGTATGTTTACGAAGTTGCAAACGAAGAATAGGCAATAATGTGTGAAAACTTTATACATATTTTTTTATTTTATAAAAATGTTAAAATACTAAATAACTACCTTTATTTAAAACATAAATTCCATTTAAAATTGTTTAATTCTAGTTTTTAAACAGAAAACTTCTTTAATTTCTGTTTTTGTTTTTTTTCTCTCTTAATTTTAACTCGTACAAGACTTTGTTTTTGTTGGCTCAGCCGTAAGAAGTCTTGCTGTTGTTGTTATTATATTTTTTAGTGCGGCAGCAGCAAACAACAGGGCATTAGTTAATAGATTGTTTGGTTTAATAGGGTGGTATTGGAGGAGGTTTTTTCTAAAGCTCCTCTTCTAACAATGTTATTACATTATTTATACTTAATTTCATGTTATTTTTCTTCTTTCTTTTATATTTGTTAAACAAATTAATTTTGTGTAATATTAAAATTTGTTTCTTTTTATTTTTTCGTTTATTTACTTTTTTTATTGCTTTAAACAAATTTCGTTAATATATTCTTCTTTCGTTTCCACACTCCACCAACAACAACAACAAATTGGGCTGCAAATTTTTTTTCTTCAAAAAAAAAAATTTGGAATCAATTCTTTTTTTCTTTTTGTAGGGGTCTTGTGTGTGAAAAAATCTTTTTTTATTCTTTGCTTTGCGCCTACTTTCGCTGCGATATCTTGACAAAATTTTTTTCTTTTGTGTATAATTTTCTCTTTAATATTGATTTATTTCATTGATTTGTTATTTTTTTAATGGATTTTCTTTACAATTTTTGTGTATTTACATATTTTTTATTTATGTTATTTGTTTAATTTCTTCTATTTAAATAATTTCACAGCACAAAAAAAGTAAAATTTTTCTTCTCAATTTGCACAAAGCAACGAGTCGTTTGTTGGAGTAACGAATACGAGTATACAGGGCTGTTGCGAAATGTAACGAATTGTAGAGGGTGACAGCTGCTTAGAAGAGTTGTATTTAATATGTCAAATGTCATGTGAAGTGGGGATAATGTTTATGATGATAATTGCAACCGCTGGCGTTAAGCGACTGTGGTTATAAAGCAATTTTATATTTAATATAAAAAATATTAGAAAATAATATTTTAATGAATCGTTAGGGTACAGAAAGCAATAATATAATATTGCCAGATTTAAGGGGATCATTTTTTATTATATTATCGATTGTGGCTGTGGTCCTTATTGTACTCATTATTTAAAGAAAGATAAAATGTAAACAAAGGGGATACACTTAAAGAAATTAATGTTTATTTGGAACAAAAATACACAATTTGATACGACGGCTAAAACGGCTTTAAATTACAAAAGTTAAATTATAGCATTTGTGTAAAACAATTTTATTATTATTTTTTTCCATTAATTGTATAATATTCGAGCAAGTCGAATATATTTTTATATAAATTTTTATCATTATTATAAGATATTATTAAAAAACTATTAAAAAGTAAAGTACTTTTTTCTTATTGTCACAGAATTGTAATAACATATTTTTATTTATTTTTTTAGGTCCTTAATCTTGGTCTAAAATGGCCCAACGATGCCTATGCTAATGGCATTAATAAAATTGGTGGACTTGTCGTCAAGACAACATTAATGGGTACAAATGCTATCGTAAATATAGGATGTGCCATTAACTTAGATAATCGTAAACCCACAATATGCCTCAATGATATGATACGTGATTACAATAGTGCAAATCAACAAAAATTACCCTCAATTAAATATGAAATGCTATTGGCTTTGATGTTTAATGAAATTGAACGTTTAATAGAATTAGTACAAACTGGTGATTTTGAAACATTTTATCAATTATATTATGATTTATGGTTGCATGGGTAAGTAAGAAAAGGGATTTCTTTAAAATTTAACAAATTTAAATTTCTTTTTTTTCATAACAGCAATCAATCTATTACAATTTGCGATAAAGATGGTTCAAAAAAAGAGGCTAAAGTTATTGGTATAGATGATTATGGTTATTTAAAAGTGAAATTAACAAATGGTGCCGTTGAAGTAGTACAACCTGATGGTAATAGTTTTGATATGTTAAAAGGTTTAATTATACCAAAATTCTATTAAGTTAAACGATTTAATGAAACTAATTTTAACATATTTATGCATTTAAGTGATTCGTATTTATCAATTTATATAGATTTAAAGTTCAAGAAGTGAAAAAATACACTTATTATATATTGGGAATTTATATAATCATAAATTAATTTGCCATTTATTTAAACAAAAAATACTTAATGATATTTAAATGCCTAAATATATCAAATAATATATAACGTATTCCTATTAGTCAGTGTAGTTATTAAAATTTTTTAGCTTTTTTCAAATTTTGTCCTAAAAACGAAACATTTATAACATTTCCAATAACTCTAGTCATTTCTTATTATTGTTAAAATAAAAAAAGACTCGTAATATTTTATGTCTTCTATAAGTGTTTTTTTTTTTTTTTTTTTCGATATTATAAAGTAATTGAAAAAAAATATTTATTGTTCTTGTTAAAAAAATATTTAAACAAATATATAAATAAAAATAAACAATATTTGTTGCGAAATGGTAAACTTAATAAAGAAAATTATAAATCCAAAAAAGGAAAAGTTAGTTTTTAAAATATTTTACTATAGAAAATTTGGTTTTACAAAACTGTAAGTACACAAAAATAATTTTTATAAAACTTTAAATATACCGGTTTTAAACATATATATATATTTTTTTTTTTTAAATTGAAAACAGTACTTTTTCTAATTTTCTTGTAAAATTTGTATTTTAAGTTGTTTTATAGAACACTTCCTGTATTAAAATGTTGTTCTATAAAAACTTTTTGTATAAACGTTTTTTAAGCAGCAGTTATTTTACTATAATTTTTTTTTTCAGTTTAACAGATTTTTAGAGAATATTTTTAGTATAACGTTTTTTAGACAAAACATTGGTATAAAAGTTTAATCAGAGCGGTTGTTTATTACAACACATTTTTCTATAGAAATAGTTAGATATAACAGAATTTTTTTAAAATAACTACTTTTTTACAAAATACTTTATGGACAATAGCTTTTTCTATAGAAAATTTCTGTATTTTTTTTTCATAAAATATTTTCAGTATAACAGTTTTTAAGTGATACTGTTTTTAACAGTGTACATGTAAGATTGAAACTGGCAATGATGTTTATTTAAATCTACTACTAGTTTTTGCAACTAAGTGTAACAATTCAAAAACTTGCGACGCGACTCAAATTCGTTTAAGCTTAAATTTTGTTAAATCTTTGGACAATAAAAACTTTTCAACGTTAATCGGCTTGACGGTTTTAATATTATTCCACTAAAATGTTTATTAAACTATAGAAATTTAACATTTTATTTATTATTCAAAATGTCAAATGAATTTTAGCCGGCTGACAAACGTCATAAAGACCAACGCTGGCATAATACAAATTAGAGCTAACGGCGTCGCCTTGAATTTAGCTTGACGCTGGACTCTGTTGCAAATTGCAGTGAAAAATTATAAAACAAGAAAAATTTTTTGACAAACAATTTTTCGCTGGAATTAAGTGGAAATTTAAAGAAATTCTTTTAAATAATAAGCAAACCAATGTTTTAAAAGTTAATAACATGAAAAACTTTGAAAAATGAAAAATATTTAAGTGTTTATCAAATTATTAACATACACCCTAACTAAAGTGCAGCAAAGTTGCTTGTAGACAAAAAAAAAGTACTACAACAAATTTTTTTCATCTAACATCAGATTAAACTAGAAATAAAATCTTTCTAAAAGATAGACCAGGAAAATGGCACAACGCAATTCCTCACGTATAGATCGTTTTGCTCAGATGAGTAAACAGGAAGAAATTATTGCCAAAAAACGGCAGGAAATCTTGGAAAAACAACGTACAGCCGAGCTGGCCAAGGCAGTGGCAGCGGCACAATCTTTAGCGGCCAAACTTAAAGGTGTTAGTACTGAGTCGTCTTCTGTTGCTAACACTGATAAAGCTCCAAATGATGAGGCGGTTGAGGTAAAGGCCGACGAAGATGAAGAGAAAAAATTAGATTCGTCAGAGTCTGCTGCTGCGATAAGCTCTACTAAATCCAGTTTGTCTAGTTTAACCGGCAAGACAGGTAAAATGTATGGTAGTGGCCTAAAACGTTCAACAGTTACGGCACCTTCGGCCGAACAGCCGCCAGTCAAGATCCAGAATACTTTCTGTAATGATGGCTCATTTTTAGAGAACTTTAAGAAGATTTTGGAAAAACAACAACCTAAACCGCCAGTGGTGGTGCCAGTGTAAGTTTTATTAGCTTTTTTTAGAATTTAGTTTTAAAATGTTTTCTTTCAAAAATTTCACTTAAATCTGGGAAAAAAATAATTTCAAGGATCATTGTAAACATGTGCTCAAATTGTATACCCCACACTTAAATATGTATACTGTAGGAAGCATAGTTGTTGTTGTAACAGTTCAAATGCGCTCAATAGTTCTTTTTTGACAAATCAAATTTCGGTTGGTGTAAGCTAGCAATGAACAGAGAACCTTTGGACCAGTATGATTGTAGTCATACCAGTCAAAAAAATTTGGCCAGTCAAAAATTTCTTGCATTTTGTTCTGCTACAAAATATTAACTTTATAATGTTCACATTCCAATAAATTTTTCTTAAAAATATTTTTATTTTTAAATTTCAAGATTTTTTTGAGTGTTTTTATTAAAATGTCTTTGTATTTGCATTATAGTCCTGAAACTGCTACCACAACTGAAGAAGAAACTCCAAGCACTAGCAGTGCTACCAATACTAATGCCACTATGGAACAAACTGCAAGTTCTAATCAAACTACAGATGGCATAATGGCTGCCCAACAACAAGAACTACATCTTCAACAACAACAGCAGCAGCAGCAGCAACAACAACAACAACAGCTGCAATTACAACAACAGCATCAACATCAGCAACGTCATCAGCATCAGCTTCAACACCATCATCAGTCCACCTTACCGCCTCCACCACCCACACCACCATCTTTACCTTTCTCATTTAATCCAGCACTAATGGCAGCACAAAATTTAATGTTACAACAATCTATGCAGGGCCCCAATCATACACAAGCTGCCACAATGCCACCACATACAGCAGCGGCATTCTTTACAGCAGCACCCCAATTTGTGCCACCTCCGCCACCGCCTACAACTGTAGCAGCGGCAGCAGCTGCGGCGGCTGCTATGCTAATGCCCATGCAGGCAGTACAAGTGGCACCACCACCACCGCCTCCACCACCACAATTGCCCATAGCCCTGGCAAATTTGACACCACTTTATATGATACCAGCTCCAGAGCCAATGCAGTTAAATGCCATACCACAGCCAAAAGAATTTGATTTGAATGCCATACCAAAGCCGCAATTAAATTTAGAAGCAATACAAATACCAGTCCAAAATATACAACAACAACAGCAGCCAACACCACCACTACAACAACAACAACAGGAACAAATTGCAAATGAACAATTAGAAGAACAGCAGCAGGAATTAAAAACATCAGCTTTAATACAACAAAATTTTGAGCAACAAACAACAGAAAATGCACAACAACAAACTGAATTAGATCAACAGCAACAACAAACACCTCCACAGGCTAATAATTATCAAGAGCTAGATACACCACAGCAACAACAAACAGATGAAGGTTAGTATTATTTTCAAATATTTTTTAAATAATTTTTTTTTAAAGGAAGAAATTTCCAAGAAATATACCCAACATAACATTTGTAATATATTTTCTTACATTTTATTATTTAAGTTCTTATAACAAACAATAGTTTAACTCAATAACAAATGTATAATTTAACATGCATTTAGTTTTTGTTTTATTATTTTTTACACTTAAATTCATAATTACACTTCAGTTGAAAAAAGCATGTTACTTTTTTCTGTTTTTCTTTTACTTGTAAAAACAAAATCACTTTTCTTTTGTTCTCTTTTTTTTTTTCTCAAAACAAACAAAAACTAAACAAAAATTTACCCAAAAAAATTGTTAAAAAATTTCGAGCACGATTTTAAAGGAATTTTTCAGTAGTTTTTTCAGACAACAATCCTGTCGACAATACTAATTGCATACAAATACCAACATCTATAGAAAATCTTATCGATTTGGTTGCCGACAATGGTGATGCTTACGAAGAAACTTTACGCGGCTATAAAAATCAATTACATCCAGCATTGTGGTAAATAATTAATAAATGAAAAAGTAATAATAAATAATAATCAAATAATAAAAAAGGCAAAGAAAAAGGTTGGAGTAAGAAAGAAAAGAAATGCATAGGCTTTTTTATTAAATAACAAAAATTATTTTACTAAACAATAGTTTGAAAAGACACTAAACAGTGTGTAGATAAATGTGCTAAATGTCTGGTTTATATACTATAATTCTTGTTGTTTAAGAACTAGCTCAAAATGAAAATTCCACGTGTTGACAAATGAGAAAAGGAACTCGTTATTTAACACATGAATTTTTCATTTCAAAAACAATGCATTCCCTTCTTACTTAGTAAAACCTTTTTTTAAAAAAAAGCAACAATAACTTCTTAAACAAAATCAACAACTATAATGAAGCCAACAACCTTAAACGTCTCAACCCATAAATAAAGAAACCAAGGAAGGATTTTCTCTACCAGCTGGATTCTAAACAACTTTAACTAGAAACAAATCTAAAAAAACATATTTTTCTCTACAAATAACTCGTCCAAACTTTGGTTGCAAAACAAAAAAATAATTTTGTAAATTTATTTTCATACATTTCGTTTATTTTTCTATGAAATTTTCTCTTCTTTCTGTCTATTTTAATATTTAGGTTTCTCTCTGATAAAACCTCTGAACAATATCATCACTATAGACAACAAATAATCGATCGACGTCAGGAGAAACTTAAGGAGCAGCAACAAAAGGAAAAAGAAGAACTAGAAAAAGAAAAGAAAACCAATCCCTCCGGCTATAAGCAAAGACGTTTATACTGTTCCATAGAGGAAGATAAATATGATCCGGAATCGGTTATAAGTGCAGATAATGATTCGGATGATGAGTATCGTCGCGGTATGATGGATCGTAATAGGGATAATATTAAGAGACGTATAGAGTGTCGTAATGAATTGAGCGAGGAGGAAAGACAGGAACGAGAAGCCGAGGAACAGGAGGAATTGAGACGCATGGAAAAGAAAAAGTTGCGCAAATCACGTTGGGGCGGTAAAATTGAAATGCCTGAGAGTTCTTCGTCGTCAAGTGAGTTTTGCTGATTTTAAATAAGCACAATTTGAAAAAAAAGTTTTTTTTTACAAAAATATTGAGTTTTATTTGGCCAAGGTGTCCCTTCCAGTTTTGCTAACCAAAATAAACCCTTGCTAACAACAGTAACACGCAGTGATCCTGCTCTCTTGAGTTATGCCAAATTAAACTATGGTTCCACTAATCTTTCCGAAGAAGATTGGAAGAAATGTGAAGAACATTATAAAGTGAATCTTTTGTATCAGGACATGATGCGCAAGAGGCAAGAAATCGATCGTTTAGCTAAAAGTGGTAAATTTAAATATGAATACGATTCGGATGAAGATGTTGATGGTGGTACCTGGGAACATAAACTGCGTCAGGCAGAAATGGAGGCTACACGTATTTGGGCTTTAGCCTTAACCAAACAAAGTGAGGGTAAACATCATATTGGTGATTTTCTACCACCAGAAGAATTGAAAAAGTTTATGGAACAATATGAGGCCAAGAAAAGTAATCGTCAGCCTGATTTGAGTGATTACAAGGAGTATAAATTGAAAGAGGATAATATTGGTTTTCAAATGCTGCAAAAACTAGGCTGGAAGGAAGGACAAGGATTGGGTCAAGATGGTGCTGGTATAGTGGATCCGGTTAATAAGTATAACAGTTTAAAACAAAACTAAAATAGGAAAAAATTTTAAAAGCTTTCTTTGTTTTTAACACTAGGGGTCCTCAGCGTGAGGGCAACCAAGGTTTGGGTGTACAAAATTCTGCCACACCGGAAGAGTGTGATAATGAATACGATGCTTATCGTAAACGCATGATGTTGGCCTATCGTTTTAGGCCTAATCCTTTGGTAAGTTTTGTTTCTTTCTTATAATTTCATTTAAATGTCACATTTTCTTTATTTTAGAATAACCCCCGCAGAGCCTATTATTAAACTTTTCCACAACAACTTAAAACTCTTTAAAACTTTGTGTATGTTATTTAAAAAAATATATAAACCGATTTTTTTTATTTAAGTAAAAGTTGAACAAAAGTAAAAAAACTACTTTTCTAAAACAACATGAAAAAACCCCCATTAAAACATGAATTAAAATAAACAGTTTATTGTTTAATTACTAAAAAAAAACAAATCGTTAAAAATGTTTACATTAATTTTTTAACGTTTAACAACTTAACTAATAATACTCCTTAACTATAAACTATATATTAAATAACTTTATTTGGCATTTATGGAATGTAATACTTATAAAAAAAAACTAAGAGTACAAAGTTAATACTGGAGTTTGATTGCCTCTGGCAAAAACCACTGGACATTTAACATCACACGATAACATTTCCAACCAAGACATATACAAGGGAGCAGAAATGGCCTCCTAAAATAAGCACAAAGTGAACATTTATTTTTAATTCCAAAAATCAAAAAAAAAAAAAAAAAAAATGTTCTCAATAAAACTTACCTTTCTAGGCATAGGCAAAGACATTACTATTAAGGCTGCCTCTGATGAATGTTCTACCACCAATTCGTGTATACGCAATTGTCGATTGGTTTTCTCTACCATTTCCTGTAATTCTGAGGAGCTTACTGCTGCTTCTTCAGAACCGGCATTATAACAATAACTATCGATTAGTTTGCGGTGTTGCAGTATTGTCGTTTCTTTGGGACGATGGGTAACACCTTTAAGCATTATCAGTTGTGAATATTTAATACGGAACTTTGTTAACAAGCTGGCCATGCTGTGAAGAAGAAATCATAAAAATAAAATGAAATAAATCAAGAAAAATATAAAGAATTAGAGCAGCAGTTTTAAGTGGTAAGTTTAATATTTAATACGTATTAATATTAAAAATATGCTAAAACATTGAACTAATGGTCCTAGAAGCCATTATTTTCGTCATCGGTGAGATATTCTGAAATATGTTTTTTGCTATAATATTTAACGAAACTACCTAAAGTGTATAAATCTAAATTGTGAGCATACTTATCACTAGACTATCGAGGAATGTGAAATTTATAAGAAAATAATGTATAAACAAAAAGTAACGTAAGATAAGTTACTTTTTCAACTTCATTTCATAAGTTTAAATAGTGTTTAACCGAAAGTAAAAAAGCTCTATTTGGAAGGTTGATATAAACTTTCCTCAAACAACAATGGAGCGCGAAACAAAAACTAAATATCAAAAAGAAGACAATCAGTTTTTGTACTCAATAATTTATGCGATAGGAATCATTATTTGCCTCCAGTGTCAAAGTAATTGATATCTTTGTCACATCTAATACGATTCATGAATTGAATTTCAATCTGATCAAGACAATTCGATAATCGATGGAAGGAAATAAGTGAAGTACTGAGACAATATATTGACATTACCAACAAATAATCAATTAACGGATCGTTTATGGATGAAATTATTCCACAAACATATAAAAAAGACTTGAATTGAAGAATGATTAAAGATAGATTATGGATAGAAGAAAATAAGTCCAAAAATTACCAACAAATGTGCAATTAAGACATCGTTCTTGAACGAAGTTATTCCGCAAAAGGATATTTAGCGCCGAAATCAAACATGATTGATGATCAAGACTTGAATGTGAAATACAATATGATAATGTTTTCAAGAAAAGTTGACGATATTTAACCGGTAGAGGAAACTAAGTTTAAAGAGAAGGATTGAGACGAAGAGATATGGGTTCCAGGATACAATGACATTATATTTGGCTACTTTGGTATACTGCATTTCGATCCGACTCTCCGCCACATAAACAAAACCGTAGGTACGATCGTAACGCAGAATACACACATTCGTAAAGCATTAAAACGAAATGGAATTTCTTCTTCTTTTTCTTACGATTCAGTTTTTTTGTTGGAATACCTTTTTTCGATCGATACGTAACTGAAAGCGTAAACGTAATCGAAATGCAGAATAGGGGTGATTATGTAAAAGGATATTAGGGCGGCAGAATCGAATGTAATCAATGTTCAAGACTTGATTTGCAAATACGATACGATACTTTTTTTCATAAAGATTGAAGACATACTATCGATAGAAGAAAATAAGTTTAAAGAGAATGACTGAGACGACACATTGTCAAAAAGATATGGGTTCCAGGATGCAATGACATTACATTCAATTATTGTAAAGTTTTTAAACAAAGTTATTCTGGATAATTGGGTGATCGAATATGATCAATGCTCAAGACTTGAAAATACGATAACCAGTCTAAATCTGCATTTCAATTCGAAAAGAAATTTTCTTCGTTTGGCAGCTACGATCGTAATGCAGAATGAACACAATCGTGTTGGAATAACTTTTATCGATCGTTGCGTAACTGACAGAAGAATAGGGGAGAATGTCTTTAAGAAAGATTGAAAATAGATAATGGATGGAGATAAAAGTGAAGGATTGATACTACACATTATCGAAGAGGTGTGGGTTTCAGGATACAGGACTTCCAATAAATGTCCAAATAACATATCGTTGTTGTTCCGTAAAAATATATTTTCAAAGAGATATTGAACATGATCGACGATCGGCTGGTCGCATATATTCACGGAAATGAACTTTGACTCTCTTGGTAGAAATTCGCTAGGTCTCCTTATAGACATACTAACCGATTACTGTATGTTTGGTTAAATTTTAGATCGTATAAGCTAGCCACGTAGAAGATTGGAACAATACGCCCTGCTCTGCAAGAGCGTAGATATGGCCCCTTTTAAGATATGGACTGTTTCCAAGGAGGTATGAATCTAACTATGTCATAGGTACTCTTAGAAACCACATAATCACAAGATCAATGTGGTAGGATTAATTTAAAGCGAACATGACTTCATAACTTCTAGAATCAAAATGGACAGATCGCCAAATTCGCACATAAAGCTTTGGCCCAAAAGTATGCATCACAAAATCAGGAGATAAGTAACAGTTTCCCACTCCTACTTCGGTGACAAATTCTAACAAGTCCCGTCAATTTATCAATACAGTTCTCTCATTCAAATTTGAAATATGTTTAGGAAATTGATTTACAATTGATACATTTTTTTTGCTATACTTACTTCTTTTCTTCCATTTCCTCATCCTTGCCGTGACTCAAAGCAAACACACGCAATTTACAATTTTGCCAATTGGAACGCATCGATATAATATAAGGCAGCAACATAGTTAAACCTTTAACAAGAAAGTAAAATAGATTAAACAAATTCTTAATATTCCATCCTCATCCACTTACCGCCATCATCATACAACCAGAATACATCTATGGTACTCTTAGGATGTTTACTCGAGAATATAGTAACAGCATCTAAAATATGTTTAGGAACTTCGGAACCGCCCTTCGTTAAATACGTCACATTATCATCTTGATGTAGTTTATATTTCTTAGAACTGCTCATATTAGGCATAGGCGGTGGCTGAGGTACTGTCAACGAGGAATTAGCACTATCCATAGCGGCTAAATTTAGATTAGAATCGACATGTAAAAGTTCTGAAGCAGCATTGCCTTGAGGCACTAAAAGATTGGTGAAACCCTTGGCATTGGCAGTGTTAATATGACCTAAACCATTTGAACCGGAATAGGAAATTTCAGGATTCAATTCGGAAAAGTCTAAGCCATCGGGTAAACGTAAAATGGCAACACCCATGCGCAAAGAGAAGGACATGCTGAAAATGTATGTAAAGGATTTATATAGAACAGTTTTACATTTCTATTTCTGTAAACAAACTTACTTCAAAATATTGAAATAACTTTCCACTTCTTGGGGATTGCATTCACACCAATTACTTTTGTAGCCCATTACCATGATATTGGGTGTTAATTTACCAAAACCGGTAGATTTTAATAGAGCCTTCACACCATCTTCCATGGTAAAACCATCGAGTACATTGTAAAAAGCCTTAATTTTGCGAGCATTCAAGTATTTCTGACCCTCCTTGATGATTTGTTGACGGTTCTTATAAACCAAACTGGTCTTAAGGGCGGAAAATATATTATAAACATATGGACTTTTAGTATAAAAAGTGAAGAAATACTTACTGGCACTATATTGGCTACAAATAATAGAGAATTATGTTTGGTTAACAAATAACTAAAATCTACTAGAGGTGGTCTTATCATGGGATCTCCCGTCAATACCAAAACTTGTGGTGTATAGTTCTTAACATGATCCGAAACATTTTGGAGTCTATGCATGGCGGTAACAGCCGCCTTATATTGTTGAGCTTGAGTAGAAGAACCCCAATTTGCCTCGGGTTTACGATACATAACCACCAAATATAAAATAAATATAATGACCAGTGTAACCAAGGAAGATATATAGTCTATAAGGAACATAATGGCCACACAGAGAACGCAGCCAAACAAACTTAACCAGGCATTGTAATACTAAAATTAGAATTGATATGATATGAAATTATTAAGAAGTTGACTGCACAAACTTACCTTAAAGGTGGGTCGCCAACCTAAAGGCTTGACAAAGGCCGCATGGAAGGTACAGAAATTGATGAGAGCATAGGAAGCCAAATAAAAGGTAGAGATGAGAGGAGCAATTACATTAAGCTGACCAATTAACAGGAAACCAGCTGAGATTATAAAGGTCAACACATAACCTCTGTAAGGTTCACCATGTTTGCCATAAGGTTTTGAGAAGAAAATCAAACCAGGATAGATTTGATCTATACCCAATGCCTGTACCAAGCGTGGCACTGACAGCAAATTAGTCAAAGCTGTACTTAAAGTGGCAGCAAAACAACCAGCATAGATCAAGGGTCCCCACAAAGACATCAGCTGCATGACTGAATACGAATTGGCCAAACCATAAGGACAGGTCTGAGAAAATTTAAAACTGCTTAGTTAGAAATGTACAATATTCTTTTATTAAAGACAAACTACTTACATTGTCAGCCTTGCAAGACAATTCAGAACTAACAATAGTACCGTTTATCAAGTCGGTTATATTGCCCGAAGCATCACGTACCGCAGCACCACCAGCAAAAACCACAAAAATTGCATACGATATCATAGACAATAACAAAGCCCATAGAGTTCCTTTAGGTATGGCATCACCAGGATTCTTTAAATCACCACAAATATTGGCACCAGCCTGAATACCCGTAACACTGGGGAAAAATATGGCAAAAACACTAAAGAAATTCTGATTAACGTTCTCGGAGAAGCGATAATCCGAAACGAAATTCTCTTTAAGTGTACCCCATGAAAAGCCCACAAAACCCTTGGAAATAGCATCAGCATTATCCTGGGGACCAATGGCAGCACCAATTAAGAAATTAAATATAGCCAATACAATGGTGACAATAAGGAAATTTTGTGCCTTTGTCTCCCATTCCATGCCCACACAACAAATGCAAATTAACACCAGAATAGTGCAAACACCCACGATACGCACATCATTTATGCCGCCATCAACTATTTTTAAACCATTTTCACCTAGAAAGAGAAGAAAATTGTAGAATGTTTCTAATCCCCCTATAAGTATAGAATAACTTACGCAACAAATCATTTAGAGAATCACAAAAACCTATGGTATTCATGGCCGCGGCTACTGCATTGGCAAAGGCAAATACCACACCCACCGAAGCACCAAATTCGGGACCCAAAGATCTCGATATAATGAAATAAACACCACCTCCCTTAACTTCACCATTCGTACTGATGGCCGATAGCGAGAGTGTGGTGACTACACACACAATGGCGGATATGGCAATGATGATAAGCGTTTGTAAAATACCCGATTGAGCCACTACCCAACTGAGACGTAAGAACAGCATTACACCCCAGATATTGAGCAGGCAAGGCACCATTACACCCACAATCCATCCTAGTTTTATAGCATGACCCATTGGTTCCTGTGGTGGAGGTTCGGGAATTTGTATAGACTGGAAAAGAAAGGAGGGAATTAATTTATTAGAATAGTTTTCGGAAAAGAGGATAGGAAACTTTGGAAACTATTTTTAATCGATTATTCGAATAATATTCCACATTTTATATTTAGATGTTAAGAAAATTATTCGAAAAAATTTTAATCGAAATTTTTTAAACGATTAATCGATTATTCTAATATTTTCGATTATTCGAATATTCGATTATTCGTAATAAAATAATTTTTGTTTTAATTTAATCTATTAATCGAATATTTTTAATCTATAAATCGAGAGTTTTCTAAAAAATATATAAGCAGTTAATGTTTTTCATTAAATTGTGCAAAGTATTTTAATCGTATGATCAGTTATTCGTAAAATTTTATTCGATTATTCGAATAATTTTTAACGATTTTTTCAACGTTTTACACTTAGTTGATAAGAAATTTATTTGAAAAGTAATTTTGGTAAAAATTTAATCGGTTATGGAGTATTTTTAATCGATTAATCGAATATTTTTGATTGATTAATCGGGTGTGTTCCTTGAACATAAAGAGTTTCATGTTTTTTCTTTTAAAAGAGTTTTTAGATATTTTGAAAAATATTTTTAATCGAATAATCGATTATTCGTATAATTTTAATCGATTATACGAATAATTTTTAAGGATTTTTTTCAACGTTTTACACTTAGTTGATATGAAATTATTAAATATTTTTGCAAAACTTTAATCGATTAATTTTAATCGATTATTCGAATAATTTTTAACGATTCTTTTCAACGTTTTACACTTAGTTGATAAGAAATTTATTTGAAAAGTAATTTTGGCAAAACTTTAATCGATTAATGGAATATTTTTGAACGATTAATCGAATATTTTTAATCGATTAATAAAAGCGGTTTCATGTTTTTTTCTTGTAAAAGAGTTTTTTTTAGACAATTTGTAAAATATTTTTAATCGAATAATTGTTTATTCGTATAATTTTAATCGATTATTCGAATAATTTTTAACGATTTTTTTAACGTTTTTGATAAGAAATTTATTTAAAAAGTAATTTTAGCAAAACTTTAATCAATTAATGGAATATTTTTAAACGATTCATCGAATATTTTTAATCGATTAATCGGGTGTGTTCTAAAATATATAAACTGTTTTGTTTTTTCTTTTAAAAGAGTTTTTTTTAGAGAATTTGTAAAATATATTTAATCGAATAATCGATTATTCGTATAATTTTAATTGATTATTCGATTATTGCAATTTTGCCATTGTTTTACAGTTAGATGATAAGAAAATTATTCGAAAAGCTGTTTTGAAAAATTCAATCGATTAATCGAATATTTTTAGTCGATTAATCGGAAGTGTTTTAAAGAACCAGTAAGCTGTTTTGTTCTCATATAATTATAATACGACAATTATACGAAAAGCAATTGAAAAAAATTGAATCGATTAATCGAATGTTTTAAATCGGTTAATTGAATTTTTTGTTGACGATTATTTGGATTGAAAGAAACTTATTTATTTATTTGTTTTTTTTTTATTCTTTTAGGTGCAACAAAAAGCTACTAATGTAAAGAATAACGGGAAAGTAGTTATTTTACTGTTAAATTGAAGTTAGATTAAAGTAAACAACTAAAGCGATATTTTAAACTTAAGCATAAAGGCGATGAAATGGAAAAAAATCTAATAAACAGGTTGGTACTTTATTTTTGTCACTTTTTATTGAATTGAATATTGGGGTTTTAACTTCACGTGGGCATCACTGATTAGTTGATTAAAATGCTCTTGGGCGTATTATTAATATTAATTGATATTCATATTAAATATTACTTATACGTATAGCTGGCATTTGAAATTTTTCGGCATAATTTATATTAAAAATGTTTTATGAACATTTATTTTTTTAATTTATAAAAAAATCCCCCAATTACAGATTTTTTTATACAAAACAATTTAAAATTAGTCTTATGCATGTCAAACTTTCATTTTTTTATTTAATTATTTTCTAATGATTTAACATTTATTTAGATTAAAATCGTTAAACAACAAAAATTACAAATAATTTTAATTGAAAACTTCTGTTTTGTTTTTAAACAAATCAAAACAGATTCCGCTAATTGAAAATAATAAAAATGACATGTAAATTGATAAATTACTCATCAATTATGATAAAGAAATACAAAATTAGCAAATGTCTAAACTAATTAATATAAAAAAAAACAACAAAAAATCATAGTTAATCGTGGAGGTAATTTAAAAAGTAAAAAAGATAAGAAATTAATCAATAGAGAAGCAAGCTAAAACGTGTAATTTTATAGTATTTTCTATATTAGCAAAATCTAACCAACAACGAATTTTGGAAATTTTTCGATTAATCGCATGTGTTCTAAAGAATAAGACAGTTTTTCTGTTCTTTTCTTTATGAAAATATTTATTCCAGAAATTTTACAAATAATTTTTAATCGATTATTCGTATAATCTTAGACAAATGTTTTCAATATTTTAGCCCTATTTTATGAGAAAATTAATCGAAAAACTATTTTTGAAAAAATGTTTATCAATTAATCGAATATTTTTTTAATCGATTAATCGGATGAGTTTTGAAATATGTACCTATATGCATTTTTTCAACTTCTTTTCATTTGAACAACTTTTTTAGAAAAATGTTTAAAGATTTTTTTATCGAATAATTGATTATTCGTAAAATTTTAATCGATTATTTGTAACATTTTAATCGATTATTTGGATAATTTAAACATTTTCTTCAAGACTTATCGGATATATCTAATAAGACAAAAAATGTGATTCGAAAAGGGATTTTGGAAAAATTTTAATCGATTAATCGAATATTTTTTTTCGATTAATGGGATGTATTATAAAATATATAATTTTTTTCGCCTTCGTTTTATTTGAACAAATTTTTAGAAACATTATTAAATATTTTTAATCGAATAATCGATTATTCGTAAAATTTTAATCGATTATTCGAATAATTTAAACATTTTTTTTCAAGAATTTATGTATTTCGGATTTATCTAATAGGACAAAAAAGCTGATTCGAAAAGGGAAAGTTTTATTCGATTAATCGAATAAAAAAAAAATTGTGTAACAATTTTTAATGGAATAATCAATAACTCGTAAAATTTTAATCGATTATTCGAATAATTAAAATTTTTTTCCAGTATTTCAATATTTTAGCCATAATTTATGAAAAAATAATTCGAAAAATTATTAAAAAAAATCGATTAATGGAGAATTTTTAATCGATTAATCGAGTATTTTAATCGGTCAATCGTGTATTTTATTTTTAATCGGAAGTGTTCTAAGGAATATAAAATTGTTTACGTTCTTTTCTTATAAACCATTTTGGAATGTATATTTTGTTATGGTTTTTAATCGAATAATTGATTATTCGCAAAACTTTAATCGATTATTTGAATAATATTTTTTTTAAGATTTTAACATTTTCGACTTCAAAAAGGATTTTGGACAAATTTTTAATCAATTAATCGAATATTTTTAATCGATTAATCGGATGTGTTCCAAAATAATATAAATATAATATAAAGAAAATTATATTTTATTAGAAACCATTTTTGAGAGAAAATTTTTAAATGGTTTTTAATAGAATAATCGATTATTCGTATAATTTTAATCGATTATTCGAATAATTTTAAACAAATTTTCCTGAATTTTAATATTTTCGCCTTATTTTATGAAAACATTATTCGAAAAATTATTAAAAAAATTTTAATCGAGTATTTTTAATCGATTAATCGGAAATGTTTTAAGGAATGTAAAATTGTTTGGAACTCTTTTCTTTAAAACGATTTTTTTAAAAAACCTTTTTTGTTAGAAAAATAAATTATTTGTAAAATTATAAAAAAAATAATCGCTTATTTGTAATCGATTAATCGTAAATGTCTTAAGGAATATAAAATTCTTTGCATTTTTTTATTTTTGTTAGAAAAATTAATTATTCGTAAAATTTTAATCGATTCGAATCATTTTAAACGATATTTTAGGTTATACCAATATATTTTTTTAAACTTCATAAGTTTAATCGATTTTTAAAATTTTTTTCTTTTATACCAAATTTTTTAGAACATTTTAAAAATAATTTTTAATCGAATAATCGATTATTCGTATATGTTAACCGAATATTTTTAATCGGATGTAATTTATTTATCATTTTTTATTTTTTAAACAAGTTTTTCAGCAATTTTTAAACATATTTTCTACCGAATAAGCGATTATTCGTATAAATTAAAACGATTATTCGAATAATTTCAAACGATTTTTAAATTATTTTTATGGTGTTATTATATTTCATGAATTCTAAACAATTTTTCGTAAAATTTAAAACGATTAATTGAATAATTTTGAACGGTTATTCAAATTATTTTAATATCTTCAATAAATTTCACAAGAAAATTTGTTAAAAAAATACTTTGTTTTAATCGATTAAGATTTTTGATAGAAAAATAAAATATTCGTAAAATGTTAATCGATTATTCGAATAATTTTAAGCGATAATTTATATTATATCAAGATTTTTTTCAAATTTCTTAAGTTTCAAAAATTTTTTCTCTTTTACCAAATTTTTTCGAACATTTAAAAAAAAAATAATCGAATAATCGATTATTCGAATATGTAATCCGAATATTTTTAATCGGATGTAATTTATTTATCTTTTTTATCTTTTAAATAAGTTTTTTTAGAAATTTTGAAAAAGATTTTCTACCGAATAATCGATTATTCGTATAAATTATAATGATTATTCGAATAATTTCAAAAGATTATTTAAATTATTTTTACAGCGTTATTAAATTTTATAAATATTAAACGATTGTTCATAAAATTTAAAACGAAGAAAATTAATTTGAAAAATATTTTATTTTCCATTTTTTTTTTTTGAAAATTAGAAAACGATTTTCAATCGATTATTGGTTTAATTTTAAACGATTATTCGTAACATTTTCTGCGTTGATTTTTAATTACTTTTTTATTTTAATATCACAA